TTGTTTCACTTTTAGTGTTATTCTGGTATTCCTATTTAAGATCCGCTTGTGTGTCATTTTTTAATCTATAGCTTTTTTACAGATAATGCTAAAGCCTTTTTAAACAATAGGGTTCAGGATGTGTCAAAAATATGAACTTGACTAAAAGCTGTGTCCATAACAGTTGTTTATTTTCAAATCTCTGTGGAAACAGGGAATCTGAATACAAAAAATATTATTACTGCAGAAATAAGATGAATGTCAAGAAGATAAAATTAGTTTCGCTTTCTTGTAGTTTTAGTAGTTTGCAAGTTTAGAAAGCTTGTTTGTAAGTTTTTAATGTTAAAAGTGTTTGTAAATTTTTAGTAATATTAGTAGTTTGTAAGTTTTTAAATGCTAAAAATGAGTACATGATAACCACACGCAATTTTGTTACTTTAGGATCATAATCTAATAGACATACAAAAAAATCTTTGATCTATAATTGTTTGTCACTTTTAAATTTATGCAAACAATGCTAGGATTTGACAATGTACCCAATACTGAATCTTGCTACTGTTTTCTAGAATACTAATTCTAGAAGATTTTGTGAATGAGATCTCCCTTCTGAAGAAATTTGTATCGATGAAAACATTTTATAGCAATCTGCAGAGCAATGCGCGTCACTTAAACAATTAAAATCAGCAGTTTTCTTCAGAACTGATATTCCATTTTTAGTTATTTGAAAATTTAAATAGTTCACCCTTTCATTCATGGACCTCTGAACTTAATTTCAAAGTCTGAAATTAAATATTCTTGGTGAATTGTTGCCGTACCGGAACAAATCACCGCTTTTTTCAATTAAATATTATTCTTCTATAATGGAATTACGCAAGGAACATTTTTGTTTTTATTTTGTTGTACTTTTCTTCCTGAAAAATTACCGTCCTTCTTCTTAATGGTATTTTGATGACAAGTTTTAAGAACACGCAAGAGAAAAAAAAATTCATAGAAAGATGGGCTACAAAGGCAGAATTCGTTATTTAAGTTCAGGAGTGAAAGATGGAATCTATATATCAAAACTTCTATCTTATCAAAAACTAAACTTCTAATTTATCAGATAGAAGTTTTGGCATAGAAGTTCTCATATATACATAAGATAGGTGTATTTGGTGTATTTAATTATGGCAAAGCACACTAGGGCTATCTGCCTAAGGGGAGGGATGCCTTCGTGGAGGACGTTCTAAGGGAAACTGGCTCGTATACACGTTACACATGGGGAAAACCACGAAAACGCCCATGCAGCCACCCCGTTCGCGGGATTCGAACCTTGAACCGAACTACCAATGTTCAGCAGCTTTACCGCTCGGCCGCTGGTGAGCTATATATAATACATAAGATAGAAGTTCTCATATATATGATGACGCTACATTTCTCGATATACTTTAAAAGAGAATTATTTTTTTTTTTTTTTTTTTTTTTTTTTTTTAAGAATTAAATAGATTGTGGATCTAACGAATGCTTACACTTGTGGCCACTTCTTCCGAAGTGTTTCTTTGAGGGATCCAAACACATGAAAACCCAGTCTGAAAAAGCTGTGCCCAGCATTTTCCCCACAGTCAATCGAGTTATGGCTTTCACTGGGTTGTCTTCCTCTTTCTCCTTCATTTCATGCTTGCACTTTCCGATTCTGGAGAGTAATGATGCACCCAAATTTCGTCACAGGTGACGATTTTATGTAAATAAAGTTCTCCTTTCTTCTTCAAAACGTGTTTAGTAAATTGGTAAATGCGAACTCAGGCGAAGCCTTTTGCTTTGACATAGCGATGATGAATATTCATCGAGAGCGATGGGGGATGAGCTTGATTTGCAACAGGTGGACGGCCTTGCTTGTATTCATAACACCAGTGTTATACTATTGACCCTAAAATGATATCCTTCAGAAACTGGGCTTTCAGTCTGAGGCAAGTTTCGATTGATTTCACGTTTTCACAGGAATCACCAGCAGCCGAGCAATAAAGTCGCTGAACACTGGCAGTTCGGCCCGACTTCAAGTCCCGGGGAACGGCTGGCTGCATGGGCGTCTTTGTGGTTTTATTCATGTAGAGCCAGTTTATACGAGCCAGTTTCCTTAGAAAATCATTCACGAAGGCATTTCTTCCCTAAGGCAGGTACCCTCGTGTGCTTTGCCGTAATCAAATAAACCAAACTACGTTTTCAGAAGGGACTTTATAATTATGCATTGCTTGAAAGAGATGTATATACTCTTCTCACTCATCGGGAAGGCTACTTAACAAAGCACAGGACAAGCTGGCTGGTTTAGATCCCTTACTCTAGGTGACCCAAACTAACTCTTCCTCGCACTCCAATAAATGAAGGGCTCTTTCATATTTAATCGCTCGACGTATGCGTTGAGTTTTTAAGAAACGCAATGGTTTTACTATCTCACTTTGTCGTTAAGATTAAGAAAATATACCTTCTTTTAATGTATGTATGAAAATATAGGGAAATAATTATTTTTTCACATTTTTCCAGGGCTGGTTTTGAGCTTATGACAGAAATATTTTGAAAGGAAAAAAAAATGACATTATATATATGTGTGTGTTTGTGTGTGCGTGTAATGATATAGAATGGGAATGAAAGGACACAAATTACTTTTTAATCCTGATTGATGGTTGTAGATGATGCTGGAATTCGGAATGCCTAATTGCGTAATACTAGAGAGATGGAATTTGCAGACAAACGTAGCCATTGGTTCAACACACTATATTTCTGGACAAACTAATTTTTTAGAGGCATATCCTAATTCACACATGATTATGAGCGCAGTATGCATCCCCCCACAATTTTAGAAGCTTACATCTTTAACTATACAATGGATGATAAAGAAAAATCAGCTAAAAAGTGTTAACAGAATGCCAGCAAGCTAAGAAAGTGTTGGTGTTGGTGTATTTAATTATGGCAAAGCACACTAGGGCTATCTGCCTAAGGGGAGGAATGCCTTCATGGAGGACCTTCTAAGGGAAACTGGCTCGAATACACGTTACACATTGGGAAAACCACGAAAACACCCATGCAGCCAGCCCGTTCGCGGGATTCGAACCTCGGATCGAACTACCAGTGTTCAGCGACTTTACTCGGCCGCTGGTGGGCCCATGCAAGCTAAGAAAGACTTGACGCATTAAAAAGAAGCGTGTCGAAAATCAAAAGGTTTTGGTTCCAACTGAAATCTTATTCAGTGACAAAACCGTATTGTGGAATATAAGGTACTGTACATAATTAAAATAGAACCCCGATTCCAACCAAATATAAGAAAAGGGAATATAACCAACACTTTAAATCGAATCTTACTTGGTTTTTAAATTACTGAATTTTGCATTTTGTTTTGTAGACTTAAAGACCTAGAGGAATATCTTCTGCAAAGTATCCTTCTTAAAGGAAACAATATGTGATAAAACCTGCATAGAAATATGACTTCTAAATATTCTTGTTAAGAAATTGAGTAACAGGTAATAAAAAATGATAAATATGCTTGTTAATTATTAATTATGTACACATTAATTCGTAACTTAACTATAATAAGTAATTAATTTATTTATAATAATAATTTATTTTTAATTATTATTTATATATAATAATTAATAAGTATTAATCTCCACACTTTGACCAGTTCATTCACAAAAAGTAGCAGATCTTTTAGAGTAATATTTTTGCCATATGATAAAACCTTTCATGATGGTGACCAGTATTTCTTAAGCCTATAATTATGCAACTATCTAGAACATCGACGACAGGAGTGTTCGTTAAGGTAATCATTCAAGAGAAGACTCGTCTGATCTAGAAGCATGGGAGCGATCTTAGGGAAGATTCAGTTCATTTTAATGCCAATGAAAGCATTTTAATCACTTTTCACTTTCCACATCAATTTTGTTTTTCGTTACTTTTCATACGCAGGTATATTAAAGCAAGGTTCTGATATGCAAAATAAGGAATTTGTGTGTAATAAAGTAACATAAATTGTGCACAATAAAACAGAAAAGCTTTTCTATGTGGTTATACTAATATAATTAATCTTTCAATGTCAGGAACTTCAAAAATTTTATTGTAAGTGGTACTTTTACTAAAAGAAAACTACAATTTGTTTTTTTAGAATATCTACTTTAAATACTAAATTTCAGATGGATGTTTTTAAAGAAGGGCATTTGAATCATGCTAGATCAAAATAGATTTTGTAAAAAGAGAACACTTTTATCTCATCTACCTAGATTGCGTTAATAAAGATCGCACAAAAAATTCCATGTAAAATGGGAGTTGGATACATAGAATTTTTGTTCTTTCTGATTATGCATAATTTTCTTTCAACGAGATAGGAACAAAGCAGGGAAGATTTTAAATAACAAATATGACTAACTACAACCAAGTTCGACCGTGGTTATGCAATTAATGAAGTTATCTAAAGACTGTAATGTGATTGATTCAGCTTTGTACTAATATTAATAATCCCACTGCTCTTATTCAATTTTATTATTAATTTTCTGAAAAGTTCCACGAATATTAGCTACCTGTTACAACTATTCTTTCATTTTATTTCCCTCTTCCCCCCTCTCTGAATTCTAATCATGGCACGCTGCCGAAAACTGAAATCTGAAAGTTATTCTAGATTGGCATTCTTTTGGCGAGAACTTGGCGATGTTTCGATATCCGGAAGAAGAGAGTAAGCCTGACGCAAGCGCCAGTCGGTAGCGAAAAGCAAAGCAACGCGGTCGAGCGCTACGCGTGACTGTCGGATCTTGATCTTCGACCATGTGTTTCTGGATTTCCCCACACACCGCCGGGTTTGCCGAGCTATGACTTAGAAACCTGATTTATTGACCGACTGTTTACTTGCGATTTATTAGTTCCTGTTAATTCTGCATTTAACAATGAGTTGTCACGTCGGCACTGCTCTGTAAATTTTTGCAAATGCGAAAAACTGATAAATCTGTGTTTCAGATATATGCATATTCGAAATGTACACAATGCATACGGCAGTAACTCTTATACAGCACTAGAGGAATCGATTTCTGAAACTTCTGATAATCTAAAAATTCATATTGAAATGACATGTTGCTATTTTGAACTTATTTACATGAAATTTTAAAATATATTCAATGAAAACTGATTGACGTGAAGACGTGCTTTCTAAATCTATGGTTGTGCTAAGTACTGAAGTTAAATTAATATGCATTTTTACATTACAGGTATACATTAACGTTGGCATAAATTAGTACATCTAGTCAGATCCCTGAAATTAATTTTAGAATATTTAAGTATAATATTTATTACCTAACAGCTGTGTTAGTTTTATTTGCTCGACCCTGCAAACGGAAGTATTTTATAGTAATAAGGATATTTCTCGATCCTAGTCAGAATAAAGTACTTAATAGGGAAAATGCAATTTAATGTATTTTGTTCCTGTTTGAAATAATTGCTCAGCATTGATTTTAAAATTAAATGGTACAACTAGTCTGAAAGAAAAGCGTTAAACTGTCTTCCTTCATAAGATACCGGTTAAACAACCGATATAATCTCACATTCTGCAGCATTCAACTCCATAAACCATCTTAATTTTCGCTGACAGTCAACAACTTTTAATTGGCTTATAAGAAGCATTTAAGAATTCTAATGCAATTCGCTAAGTGGAAGTATAGTTAGCCTTCATCTTCGGAAAAATTCTGAGGACATAACAGGTTCATAACACGTTAGCAATATGTATAGGTACTTTCTTCTGTGGATCATTCCCTCACTTACGACTTCTTGCCTCCTCTTGCCAGATGATGCCAAACCGAAAGGCTTGGAGGAAAGGGCACTGGATTCGGAAGTAGTTCTCTCTGCTTATACGAGGGCAGTATACAGGAACGAAAATGACTCAACTAGTTACAGCGCAAATTTTATTGTCATTAATGTGTTGAAAGGCAAAGATCATGTACTGGAAGCTTATCAACAGAGCAAGCCTTCTCAGCTTGAAAGAGAACTCAACATGAGGATTGTGAACGTTACAAATTTCGGTGATCCTACTAAATGCCAATCCCATGTAAGAGCAGGCGAAACTTACATTCTGTTTTTGGACATATTGGCAAATGGGCATTTATCCGCCAGGTATGATGGTGTTTATGGGCCAGCTGTGGTCTATTCAAAAGATAAAGAGCTGGCTCTCGAAGCTATTGGTAAGTTGATTTCAAATTTAAGTTTACTTAAGAAAACACATAATAAGAGATTAGAATTGTGGTTAATATTTTTCATTTGCATTTATTTCACAACTGAGTGTATTGAAATGTACGTTAAGTTTTGAGAGAATTTTAATACTCGTAGGAGTTAGACACTAAATGCCTTATTATAATCACTGATGTTTATTAAAATAATTTTATATAATTTAGCTACTTCTCCAAAACCTGCAACTGTTAAATTTCTGGACTAATATCAACCATTATTCTGCATGAAGATCACAGAAAAAAATTATGAGACATTGTTCATAATATGTTTTCTTAGCTGAATGAAGACTAGAATAAAATTCATTGCACTTTCTCCATCATTGTAAATAATATTACTATTACATAATATCCTGTGACTTTTCATCAGTGGGGGGGGGGGAGGAAACCTACTAATATTATATCTTATTTTTGTTTGTCACCAATCCTTTTGAAGCATAAAAAGACATTTTATTTATTAAAATGTGGTATTACTGAAATATTATGATAAACCAGTATAAAAAATATGGTATTTGTGATTATTTTCTTCTATATGGACTGATATCTGTTAAATAATTCTAAGGAAAATCTTATTCATAGTAAATGTATAAAGCAGGCTTTTTTTTTTTTTTTTTGATAAATTTCCAACTCGGTGAAAAAGGAATCGATAAGTAGAGAAGTTACTCACTCCTTTTAATAGGCTGGTTAGGTTTTAATTTAATAATTTATGTGCTCCTCCAGCATAAATTTCGTCTTCATATTTTTTGTTCGTCTTTATATTTTTCAAATTCTTTATAAATTATTCAGTCTAAATTTCGACTGTGTATTTTTCAAAACAATCTGAGGTTTTAAATGTAGAATTTATGATCATAAAAATGATCGCGCTTTCGTTAGTTCGACTGCACTGAAACACACAATTCAATTATTCTTTATCAAATAATAGTTTTATCAATTCCAAATTAATAAATTTATATTTTTTTTTGGGGGGGAAGGAGAATAAATGTTGCATTTCGGTAGTATGCAACATTTATTCAAATGTACATTGGACATTTTTAAATGAATACTTCTAATCAATAAAATCCTGTTTTACAGATTTATAACCAACATTTTAAGAAAAACAATTTAAATAAATTTTATAAATATTAATCCTAAAATCTCTGAAATTCAAACTTAAGTGAAACCGCTTCAAAAATATTTTGTTATATAATACGTAGAAATAATTTTTTACTATACTTAATAGTAAATATTTTATAACCTTAAAATTTTTCTTGGGGAAAAATGTGGCATATTTTACTTTTTGTTACGAAACGAGCTTAACGTTAGAGCATAAGACGTTGCCTAAAGCCAAAGAGCTTAAAGCAACGGCGGTGTGTGTCCAGTTGGTTAATGCTGGTTAGTTTTGACCTATATTCCATAACGGACCTTGACATTGGTATCTACCGCAGAATTTGTGGACTGACTAATATTAAAGAACGTAGAAGTTAGTAACCCTTTTAAAAGACATCCAGGAAAACAACGCTGCTTACAAATAAACTTGTTTTGTTAATCATTCATGCACAAGAGCTGATTTGCGCAAGGATTTACCGGGTATGCGCACTGGGCCTATAAATCGTTGTGTAATATTTTAAAATATATGAAATTGAAAATCTGTATTTTTTAAAAGCTAAGCTAACTTGTACTGAATGATTAAGACATAATAACACGCCGAATAAATAAATAGTAATTCAGAAGTCAAACAAACAAAAATCAGCGTTATATTTACAAAACTTTCACAGGACTAGTTTCGATGGTTTTACCGAACCACCATCCTCAGCTGCAAAACAGCAAATGACTTCTGAATAATTCAGAAGTCAAACACTTCTGACTAATTCAGAACTTTGCGGTTTTGCAGCTGAGGATGGTGGCTCGGTAAAACCATCTAAACTAGTCCTGTGAAAGTTTTGTAAATATAACGCTGATTTTGTTGTTTGACTTCTGAATTTGTACTGAATGGTTCAAAACCGTTAAATATTGGTAGTTCGAATCGATTTGAAATCCCGGAGAATGTTCTAGCTACATGGATGTTTCATGGTTTACACCATGTGTTACCATGCGTTTCCCTTAGAAAGTTCTCCAGGAAGTTCCTTTCTTTAGACATAAAAATTTCATGTGATTTACTGAGTTCAACTGCACTAACCCAACCTACAAGTGCAAAATTAGAAACAGGATTTTTTAAAATTTGTATTTTTATTTTTATTTCTTCCTTTAAAAATCCAACACTGGAGGATTACCTTTTACTTTCATACGGAACTGATATCATTTAACGAAACGTTGCAGTGTAAGCTAGTGTGTATAAGCCATCAGTCTTTGCTATTCCATTACCATCACATTTAAGTTTATGATATCTCACAGATGAGTATGTTTTGATTGTCGTAGGTGTGATCATTTACTTGTTTATAAATAAGCAATTTAATTGCATTATTTTTAGCTTTTATCTGTATTTCAATTAAGTCTAATAACAATATCAGTAAGAATTTTTTAGATTTTTCTCTTTATCTCCGTTTTCAGTAAGAAAATCTCGATATAAAATGTGTAGGCTTATATTTTATACAAAACATAATAAACGTAAACCAGAAAAACGAAGCATAGAAAAAAGTGAAATGCGTTTATTGTTTAAGCAGTTAGATGCATTTAAAAAAGCCCCAAAATGTATCCTTTTATATTAAAATTCGATTATTTAAAAAACATCCATGTAACAGTTCTCTGTAGAATGAAAATTATAGTAAAAATAGCTCTAAGTTTTCACCAAAGGGCCAAATACTTTGTTTACATTTGCGATTTTGCGAAATTCACGTATTAAATCCCTCGAACATACATAAAATGTTTCTTTAAACAAATGTATATAATACGCATTATAGAAAATTGAAGTTCTTAATATATCTATCTATGTATTTGTTAATTAAAAAAGTTTTCTGGGTAATTTATTCCTCAATTAACAGTTCATGAAAATGTGATTTTCCTGCTTGCGAGCATGATATCTCCTGACTGTGTGAATTCCAAGAAATTTTGTTTAGTTGCTTAAACACAGTATTGGTATACAATGAGCCTTTAGTGTGCTTCTGACATAAGAAATTTTAGAATTATAATTAAATTTGAAATCATATGAAAATTTCCAACTTCACTTTTCACTGTCTCACTTAAAATAATGATGATTGTATGTGCAATACTGTTAAATATATAATTATACAAACTTATATATAAATATATTTGTATAATTCTTTGTTAATATTAAGAAAATATTTATATATTTATTAAGAAATTATAAAAATATTTTGTTGTACTAATATATTTATATATTTATTAAAATATGTTTATAAACTATATATACTATATTTATATATTATTAAGAAAGTATTGTGTTATAGAATTATGCACACTGTACCATAGTCGTATCTCCGTCAAATAAACAAGACCTGTTCTAGGCTAAATATTTACTTATATATACAACTATGTACAAATTACATTTTAGAAAACTTTAAAATACATTTTCATTACCACGCAAACCAGCGTCCGCTCTTTTCTCTTCCACATCTCAATCTCCTTTTACTCCCACCTGCGACCAGGGGGAAAATCCACTTCCCTCTTCCGGCCGAGGTGAGAAGAATGTTATCTGTCCGTTCTTTTAAGGCGGGTGATTAAGTGTTCTTCAGATAACGGGAACGTTACAACACGTAAAAAAATTGACTATATTTATATATTATTCAGAAAGTATTGTGTTATAGAAATCATTTTTGTAGATCTTTTTTAATATAAAAAAGTAATGTGTAATTGCAGGACTTAAAGGCATTTATATCTTTAATTTTAGATTTCTTAAAATCGTAATTTTCCTGCAGATACGCTACATTTTTTTCCAACCATTGGCAATAGAATTTCAAACAATTTTGACTATTTATATAAATTCGATAGGAATATAACGAGACCAACTATTATGCTTCTCGCATAAAAAGTTAGAAATTACCTTTAATTTCATATAAAAAAGTGGTCAATTTTGGGATCTCTAAAACATAAAAAAAATTACTAGTTGAAAAAATAGGTACTTACGTTTAAATAGGTTACGTACTTACGTACGACCGGCCAAACAGTGCAATTTAGCGCCAATTATGGATGACCACTTCCTTTAAAATTTCGCAGTAAGGACTGGCGATTAGCTACCGTTGCCAGAATTTCCGTAAGTGGTCGACAGGATAATTCGTAAGTACCAGAAAATATTTTTCGATTATTTTTAAAGCAGGTCTTTTTAATTATACATTATTTTTTTAGCTTAGAAAAAAGTATCAGCAAAATGTAGTGACATTGTTTACCCATAATTCTGCACACATCACCTGTTAAAATTTTATGTCGATGACAAGGAAAGTAATTTATTTTCATTTTATTTAAAATATTTTAGTTTCTACAACAGAATGTGAATAAATAAATTTTAATAAAAATTTTTTAAAAAACTGAAAGGTTTTAGTTTTTAAATTACTTCTAAAGGAGCATTTTCTTAACATTTTGTAAGTTACCTTTATTTATTAAATATCATGTTCTTCGAACTTAAACCATAAATTTCAATTCAACAACAATATCGCAAAATAATTTTAAAATGAGCATATGTTTAGAATTTCCCGATACATAGTCTCGCACGCTGGAGATAAAGATTTTTTTCCCGTAGAATGTTACCATTGCTCGCTTTTTAAATCGTTGAGTTTGTTAATCAAAAATTCGTTAAATATGAAATCGATAATAAAACAAATTTCAGATTTGTGCTCCCAGATACCCGCATTCACAGGATGATCACATTATTCAAAATTGGATGGCTCTAGGTACCGTTGTTTTACCAGAATGAGAGAAATACCAAATACTTTTACTCAATGTATCTGAAATAGATAAAGATAAGACAATACTGGCAAAGGAAAAAACGAAAACCTTTCGACGCATTTCTTTTTATAATATAAACGTTC